CGACCCCCCTGTCCCAGTGGGCTGGAGGCTGCCCCTGCCGGCGACAAGATTCCCATGGACACAGGCCCTGGGGCACCAGGGGGGCCGGCCTGGCCCGGATTCAGGAACTGGAATCACGGAGCACAAGGACAGGCAGGAAAGAGGGTTCTCCACAGGGGTCCAGGTGCTTGGCGGCGGAGGGCAAAAGGCATCTTGGACTCACGTGCTACACCACAGTGGCCTGTCTCACCCGTGCCTGCCTTGACCCTTCCTATGGAATGGCAACCTGGGCGACTCTGGAAAGAGGGGCCGGACGAGCGTGGAGCAGGGGTGGCGTGGCCTCCCGCCCGCTGCAGTGGGCGGCCACCGTGCGTCAGCCCCCCCGCCACGCTGCCCCCTGTGCCCTGGGAGCACTACCACTGCCCGGCCTGGCTCCTAGCTCCAGTCTGCCATGGGAGCCAGAAGCCAGTGCCAGGCCTTCAGGATGGAGGGAGGGCTGTGGCGAGGCGGCCCTGGGCACCAGGCCTCGAGGGTGGCCTGCCCTACCTGCAGGTTCTTCCTCCACACGTTCACCGCCGCGAAGGCCAGGCTGCATCTGCTTCCGGGGGGTCTTTGTGCCGCTTGTACGCAATCTCAATGAAAATCAGGGAGATCCCGGCCACGATGCCCCCGCCACCAGCATGGAAGGACCCCTGTGCGCAGGCCAGAGCTCAGCGCTGGCGCCAGAGGGGCTGCAGCCACCGTGATACCACCCATGTCAGGTGGCCGCACTGCCATGTTCTCGAAAGTGAAGGTCGCGGGGCGTTGCTGCGCGAGTCACATTCCTGGTACCGAACCCACGTCTTTGCCAGGTCTTCCATGAACCATTCTCGTGGACTCGTGGGTGCAGGAGCGTGGGAGACTGAGGTTGGCGGGGCCCTGCGGGGGGGCAGCCCTGAGGTGGCGGGGCTGCAGGGGGTGGCTGTAGGGTGGGCGGGGGCCTGGGGCGGGGCTGGGGGCGTCACGCACTGCCTGGTGGGGTCAGGCACGGGGAGGGTCTCTTGTGAGATGGAGGCACCGGCATGCTCACTTGAGGATGGACAGGGAGACGTTCTTGCTTCCAAGGCTGTTCCTTGCGCATGCCTATGCCAAGCCAGAGCGGGGAAAGAACAGCTCGCCTGTAGTCACCAGGTCACACATCTGCGACGCCTCGAACTCCAGCACCGCAGTCCCAGAGGAAGGCGTGCAGCTTGCTGCCAGGCAGAGCGTCAAGCCTGCACGGCAGGCCATTCTTGCTCCGCCGCCCGGTGGCTGTCCTCTGTCCTGGCCAGTCTATGGCCTGCCCGCCGTCCCCAGCCTGGGTGTGCTCCCCACGCCCACTTTCCTGCGTGGTGAGTGCCACCTTTCCCTACCCCCTCGATCGTCCTGCCCGGCCGAGATGGCCTCCTGCATGCGCTCCTCACTTTTCCTCACGCCTGGGATGGCCTCCGCTGGCGCTCTCGTAGTTGTGCTTCCACTGTGCCGGATACTGGTGCTCAGCTCCACCTGCGCCGGAAGTAGATGTCCACCGAAGCTCTTGCTTCACGGTCGCGTAGATGAACTTGTCCGAGGGTCCTCAGTGCAGGGCAGAGGGCGGGCTCGCAGCAGCTCTTGCAGCCCCTACCCAAGCACAGGCCAGCAAACTCACGACCCCTCCTCCAGCCCGGCCAGGCCTCCCGTGGGTCGTTGATGCCCGTAATGCGCTCCTCTGGCCGTCAGCACCAGGAAGGCTGCCAGGTTGGCAGTGTAGGAGGCCACGATGATCATGGCGAAGCCGGCCCACACCATGCCCAGGATGCGTGCGGAGAAGCTTCGGGGAGCACCTGTGGGCAGGGGCTCAGCAGGTCCCCTACGGCAGGCGAACGGGCCCGGACCGGCTTAGTGGCCTTACCTTCCCCGATGCCAGAGTTGAGCAGGACGCCCCAGGAGACCACATGCCGAGGATTAGGTCAGCGCGTCCTCCTCCTCTCCTCGCTGTTCACCTTGAACCGACCAAAGGGGCTGCGGGTGCAGAGGGCAGGTGGGAGAGAGGGGCAGAAGAGGTGGCCCTGCCTGGCCCGCCACCCTGCAGATGGCGGTGTCTGGGCCCCAGGTTCGCGCTCACTCGAAGCGGTCCAGCAGGTACAGCATCACGGCCACCACGTGCACAGACAGTCCCACCAGCAGCCACAGGGTGCTCTGGAAGGGCTGCATGAATGATCCAGCGTGCTCCGGGGGATCTCCTGCAGGGACAGGTGGTCAGCGCCGCCCGGGCCTCCAGGACTCCGCCCACTCCCGGCCCTGCACACTTCTTGACCAGAATGGTTCAGGCCCTGGTACTTGAAGGGCTTGGAGAACTCGATGTACTGCGCCCGCTCGGTTGTTGATGGTCAGGTGCTGCCACGATCATGTCCGCCTGCCCGCTGAGCAGCTCGCCCATCATCCCGTTCCACTCCTTCTTGTTGCTGTTGTTCACCTGCGGGGCGACAGAACCCACGCGCATGCGGAGAGCGTCGCCCCCGCGACAGGTTCCAGCCAGGCAAAGCCAGCGCCATTACAGGGGTCGGCTGCCGCAGGCCCCGCCACCACCCCGCCCCGGCCCTCAAACCCGCCCATAAGGCCCCGCCCAAGACCCCAGCCACAGGCCCACCAAAGACCCTCCACCGTCGGCCCGCCCACCACGGCATGCCCAA